TTCATCCTCACTACCACCACCCTGATCCAAACAATAGCTCACAAAGACTGATAGTCTCCAATTGGCTTTCCTCCTTTCTGTTTTGCCTTCCTCCTCCCCAATCAGTTCCCTGTGTAGTTCTCAGTGCAATCTTTTAGAACTGTAAATTATAAAACCCACCTCCCACTTAAAACCCTTCAGTCATCTCCTCTCATGTTCAGAATAAAGTACAATCTCTTACCTTGGTTTTGCAAACCGTGTGTGATCCGGCTTCTGGTGATCTCCCCATGCCCACTCTGCCCCTGTTCTGTTCCTCTAGCTCTTCCTGTAACCCCATCAAGCTTGTTCCCAGCTCAGGGCCTGCATTAGACAGGATGGGGCTAGATTATGCCACGGTAAGACACAATCCCCAAGTCACACAAAGTATCCAGAGGGCTAGGTAATTTTTGTCCACGAAATAACTTGTCCATGCAAGGACTCAGTAATTCAGGCTGCCTCAGTCTCGAGGTTCTATCATCTCAATATGCGGCTTTATCCATGTTTGCTATGGCAGAGGAAGAGGGTACTGGAGGGTCTTCTATCAGTATGAAAATTATTTATATCACTTCCTCTCACAGTCTGTTTTCCAGAACTTGTCCATAACCCCACCCACCTGCAAGATGGTGGAGAAGAGTGTCCTCCTGTGTGCCAAGAATAAACAAGTCAGATAGGAATACCAAAAGTCTCTACCAGAAGACTGTTCCCTCTTCCTGGAATGTACTTTTCTCTAATTTTCACATGACTGGTTGCCTACTGACACTTGGATTTCATCTCAAAAGCTGTCTTGAGATGTCACTGACCACCCAGGTATGTTAACTTGCAACTCTCTGATTTAGTTGTTTATTGAACATTCTCTCCCTGAACTAGAATAAAAGCTCCCTGAAAGCAGGTAAATTGTCTGTCTTGCTCATCCTGGAGTCTCCTTAATATTGGTTAATAAAATAACCACTCAACAATGTAAATCTGATCATGGCATCCCCCTTGCCATTCGTGGATTTTTATAATCATTAGGATAAAGTTTAAACTTTCTGACATGACATATGAGCCTTCATAAGATAAAGTCTGATTATATTTCATTCATCCCCAGGGATTGCCACTGGGGATACGGCGGTAAACTTAAAAATCTTCAGATTTATATCCTGCATTACTCTTTCCTGTACTCAGTGTTAGACAAAGTCACATAAACAACCTAAGACAGCTAACAAAGTCCTGCTTCTTTAGACAGATACTCTTTAAGGTTTAGGATTTATTTAGTGAGGATGGGAACAGATTAATGGTCTACTAACACAAATTGTACAAATAGTGATTCACTTTCTAATTGCTTTTACCGGCCAAAATTGAATCAATGCTCTAAAATGATTCAGGAAAATGATTACAACTTATATCATGTTAAAATATGTTGCTGAAAGAAAACAAGATAAATAAAGCCCCCAAAGCACCTTAAGATAAAGGTTTATTTCTTACTCAAGTAAAGTCTGAAGTTCAGGTGGTCTTCCTTCACTGTGTTACACCAGTTTTCCATGGACTTCAAAAAGTCCTCAGCAGAGCAAGAGACAAAGGAGGCACACTGGATCTTAAATGCCTTCCCCTAATAGGAAACACACCTCGACCCCTCAAATCATCTGGCTAGAATTAGTCTTATGGCCTCAACCTACCCCCAGAGGGAGCTTGAAGATATAGAGAAGCACATAGTTCAGGTCATCAGTTATTCCTTTTATCCTTTCTAACCACACCAAGAATACAATCAATCCATTTTCAAGTGAGGCAACCTTAAGTACCATACCAGTGATGCATCCAGCTTAATGTTCTGGATCTCCAAATGGCCTGTGTATTTATTTCTCTTCTTTGAGACATGTTTCTTCTCCACAGATCTAAGAGTCAGTTGATCTGCCCCTCTCTTCAACACATCCAATATATAATTCTGAAGCAAAAATGGGCTAATTACAATAAAAACTCTCATTTGGAGAGAGAGGAATAGTAGATATAAAGCAACAAAAACTTTTATTAATTAAAAAAAAAAATAGGCCGCATAGTAGCCAGATCATGAAATGTCCCTGCTCAAAAACTTTTCAGTGGATTTTGATCACTCTCAGAATAAAATCTGAACTCCTTCCCATGCTTTCCAAGGTCCAAGATCAGGTGCCTGGTACTCTTGACTTTACCTATTTTCATGAGTTTCCTCATTCTGCCACCTCTAGTCCAACTAGCCTGCTGTCCTTTCAATAAGCCAAACTCCTTTCTCTTCAGACCCTTTGCATTTGCTCTCCTACATCTAGATAATTCTTTTCCTACTTAAAATTTACATAGCCTCTGACTACATGAAATGGCACCTCACCAACATCATTGAAACAACTGGCCTGGTCTGGAGATGAAACATTCAAAAGAAAAAGAATCTGTACCATTAAGGCTATTTTTGATGCTGCTTTAGGGTAAAAATGAGTTGTAAAAAGTAAAGAAAACTTTTAGAATATGGGCTCACCTGATTATGAAGCTACTGTTTTACTTATAATATTATCAGCAATAAGATTCCAAAGGTTTCCAGTAACAGACTTTTCTTTCACCAAGGCTCTCAGAAAACCACCATCACAAGAAACAAGCATGTATTACTGAAAAAAGGGAATTGGGTGTTAAGGAAAGGGGAATATACAATTTGAAGCTTATCATGTTTGCACTTGATCAAATTGCTCTTAGTTCCCCAGTTGGTTCCAGGTGCTTAAGTATTCTTTCAAGTCACTATCATTTGATTCCTCAATCCTACACAAACTGTCTAAATTTGGGGATATCTCAATCAGAAGATCTCAACTTATCACCATTTTGTTGCAGTCTACTTTCACCTTCTAATCATATTTACATTACAGTCAATCTTTTGTTAAAAACCGAGATGTTCAGGAGATTCAATGACTAAGCCTCAGCATCAGTAGTGTCAAGTGACTTCTACTAGGACAGTGGCAGCAAAGGATAGACACATGAGCAGATCTGAAGGACCCTCAGGACATGGAGCTGCAGAAAACCGAGAGGATGGTCAACCAGAAAGGAAAATGAGAGACTAAAGACAATGACCAGGTTGCTGGCTTAGATTCCTGAATGTACAGTGGTATCACCATCCAGTAAGGCAGAAGAGAGAAAAATGGTTTAAGGAATGGGGTAAGTTTTGGGTTTACCGAATTTAAGGTGCTTGCAAGACACACAGTTGGAAGTTCAACGTGTAAGTTTTGTGCAGGCTGTTACTACAGAAGTTGACCTTGTACTAACATCGTTAACCTCTTTGGACCTGTTCCTCCTACATTTGTAAAATAAGAGTACTGTACTAATTTCTAGGGGTCTTCCAGCCCTAAAATGGCAGTGAACTCAGTTTTTTCAGTAATCTTAAATAATTTGATTTGGACCCCTATTTGTTCCTAAGAACTTTGGGGTTTCAGGCAATCTGTATATTTTACTTTGATAACTTAACAAGAACTTTAGTTAAGAACTTAACTAGCTGGGAGCTTTCACATTCATACAACCTTGTTTTCTCTTAAATTTTGAGAGTGCAACACCATGGATTCCTCTGATGAAAGACACACATTTAAGCTTGTTGGTCATTCTGGGTAAGAATTTCAAGAAGAATTATAATACACTATTGAAATTTCTTCTCCATGAAATCTTCCCTTCATAGATTTGGAGAAGTTAGAGACATTATTCCTGTTATAGGAAATGGAATTCTTCCTATCTTACTTTCATTCCAAAGTGTATGCAGCTGCTTGGTTATTGTATTAGTTTCAGGTAAGAAATAAGTTTGAGGGAAGACAGGACATAACCTCTTCACCCCATGTAAGAAGTAGCCCTGATACTAAATGCAACTCTGGTTTAAAGACAGGTTTTTGTCTTTTAAGGCAAATAATCATATTGTTCAGCTTAAATAAAATTTCTTTTTAACAGAACAATGATTATTCTATGAAGTACACCTGTGACTCTTTAACAAAACAAAAAATTGCACTGTGACTAAAAGCACGGAATTTGGAATAAGACAGTTCAAACCTGGTACCTCTAATTTGAGCTTGTGTACATTTTTTAACCTCTTGGAGCTTAAATCTCTTTAGTAAAATGAGGATAATACTTACATTACAGGGTTATTTGAGAACTAAAAGTGATCTATTAAAAACATTATGTAGCAAAAATTAAGACTGCTAGACAAAAGAAAACACCATTTCAACTATGATTTTGTTAGACTTTTATTATGAATAATTTTGTCATTATTTTAAGGATCCCTCTAAAACTGCAAATATTAAGAGTAGTTAAATTTTGAGTTGACTCCTGCTTTTATATTATTAGTGCTGATTTTTCTTTAAGAACCACTGTGCGCCTGACAACTATATTGACAGTCAAGCAGAAACCCTAGTTTCAATTCCTCTTGTGTAAAAACTATTCTACTTACTTGTGGGTATTAATTTGATGTGAAGAATATAAAGTAAATCTGAAAACCTGTAAATAAACACGAGACTGTATTTCATAATTCATGATAGAGGTATAAAGTTAATTCTTGATTTTTCAAATAAATATAAATGTAATAAAGCAATTCAAAAGTTATTCTGGTGTTTAAATACATTATGATTTTTTTGAACACTGTTCTAATAATTTTTCATTTATTCTTGCTTATAGTACTAAGTGAAATGCTGCTATTATGATATATGTGTGTGTGTCTCTGTGTGTAAAAGAGTAATAGTTGTGGGCTAAAAATTTCCCACTTATCATTTAATGAAGTTAATCCAGACTTAGTTGTAACATGTTCCAAAATCAAATAATGTATCAGGTAACAAACTACAAAATAAATCTGGAGACAATCATGAGTGAATAAATAAGTCATTAAAATGAACTACACATGAACTTTCAGTTAAAACACACCTTAAAATTGTGATAAAAAACTTCCATTTCTATTAGTGCTTTCTCCTTTAAGAATTATTATCTCATAGTTTGTTAACCTCTAGAAGAGTAAGAAAAAGTCCTTTTATATTTCATGATAGGTTTAATCAGGTAATTAAAACAAATTCTTATGATATCATCTGATATGTCCAATTACATGGGTATGATGTAACAAAAACAGTTACAAACTTATATATGCATATTTACATTATATATCCAAAACTGTCAAGCTAGTCAACTATATCTAAGGAGATACATTATGGCATGAGTTAAACAACTTTTCATTGCTTATTAGAAAGAATGCAGTCAAGCTTTTAATGGAAATAATATACAAGTGAGGCACTTTTGAGGTAAAAAATAGAAAGCAAATGACACTACATACTGGCAATGTTCACAAAAATCTATGTGTATTTTAATACAAAGGTTTTTCAACTAGATTATTCTTGAAAAATCTCAAAACTAGCAACTTATGCAATTTAAGGAGCTTTCAGGAACAATGGCTAACATCAGTGTATCAAAGCATATGAAAGTTTTATAACCACCTGGCTGCTAGGCAAACAGTACCTTAATACCTTAGAGCCCTTTAAAAAAAATTTTTTTTTTTTGGCTTATATATATTACCTCAGGTTGTGATTTCTTTTTAGATGTTTTGACTCACTGAAAAACACCTTATGGTGCTATTATTGCGGCATATAGACCAATCTTTTTTTTTTTTAGTGCAACAATGATGCAAGTTTCTAGTGCTTCCCCATATACTTAGATATGTGATCCTGGAAATCAAGAATGAGAATATTTAGTTAAGAATTTATGCTTTCCAGGTAACAAGCTTTCAAAATTTTATGTAGTAAAATGCTATATTTATTTAATGTCTCTTTGGGCTAAACTAAAAAACCCAATCTTAAAACACATATTCCAAAGTGTATCACAAAACCTAAAGTAAATTTCCATAAAACAAACATCCTTAAGTTTCTCTGAATCTGGAGGGAAGTACATGTTTCCTGCATTTTGGAGACATATAAATAGTAAGAATCATCTCTGTGGTGTTCACTTAAGAAGGGCTGGGGAGAGAAAAAGAAAAAGCAAGACTTACCCAAGATATCAGGTGGCACTATACACATGAATTGAAAGTGCATTTGTATTACTTTAAAAGTTCATTTTAGGCACTGCTGAGTAACCAATGAAAATAGGTAGTTTTAAGTTTTCCCCTTTAAATTCTAACCCTTGCCCAATTATCATCCCAGAGACACACACACTCTCTGAAGTTGTCATGATGAAATACAGTGACATTTATTTTTTCTAAAAAGTTCTCCCTGACTGGTAATGGGAGGAAAAGAATACCATTTTAGCAATGGCTTTTACAAGTTAAAAGAATTGGTTCTATAAATGCTTCGGCACATCCATTAAGTTTGATTGCCAGTTCCAAATATTGGTAAATATTTAAAACAGGATACGTAAGAAAAAAAGTGCTTAAAATCTTTCAGGACCAATAAGACACATTAGGGAAAAGACTGGTTTTACAGTTCTTTTGAGATATTTCTTATTCCTACTTTCTCCATTTGGAAGTGGCTGCCCCTTAAATAGCCCTTTACTGGCAATAATGATGAATCCTGTCAGATCCCAACTGCCACCTCACGTATGGTCTATAAATCATCCAGTAGGTGGTGCTGAAGTTACATACCTCGTATTTCTTCAGAAATCAAGTGATTCCCCTGTCAAGTCAGAGGAAAATCATTTAAGAATTATTAATTCTGAATAAGCCATCAGATCAAAGCCTTCATGTTTTCACTTTTAGTATTTACTATTACTTAAACAGTTTTGCTTAGCCATTTGCTTCTACTATCAGATTAAAACTGAAAAGAAAGACTTTAGAGGACAAGCCAATTGGCAGTGTCAAATCTGTATGCAGACTGAGAAAATGCTCCCAAACATATCTATACACATGTTTAAGAATGAGAAATTTAACCTATTCATTTGTTTTCACATAATAATTCTAATTTACTGATGAGAAAATTTCCACATAAGGGATTCAGGTAACATTATGAGTTAGCCTTGTAGACTGCTTTGGAACCTTGGTGTGTTAAACTATAAAGATTCAAGGTAAAATGAAAACCATTTCATCACCATAGTTTTTAATGAAGAAACTTGTTTAAAAATTGTAAAGGAAAAATTGGGTATGGGACGGAAAGATCTTAGCAGCAAAGTGGTTAAACACACTGAAAATATTAATGCACAAACATTAAAATATTAAAGCATATATGTTGCATATAAAATACAGTACAGAACCAGGAGTTGCACTATACTGATTAGTGCTCAACAGAAGAAATGATTAAATTTGTTCTTCCCAGAAGTATATACACAGTTCATTTCCACAGCATTTTCCTATGTAGCCAGCAAGTTATTTTCTTCAGTTATTCACACCTGCTCAAACCTGAATTATAACCTCAGCACTTACAAATATGAAAATTCAGTCACAAGGAAAATCAGTATTTCCATTTTATCAATAAAAAGTAATTTTGAAAGTTAACAGTCTATTCTAGGAAAGCAAGTTTAGCTGAAAACTTCAGGGATGAAGATCATCTGGTGTAGCAGCATCCAAATATATAAACAGTAAAAATAAGACTTAAAACTGCTGCTACAGTGTCATGTTTTGGACTTAGTTCAACCAATTGATTTTTAGTACAAAACTAGAAATAACCTCTTCTTCATAACATCTATAGTTATCAATATATTTTTCTTCTTTTCAATGTGAAATAATACTTCAAGATGATCTATATACACAATGTTGTCAGTTCAAGCTGTCATATAAATATAAATGCTTTCTTAAAAAAAAGTATTTTACAGACAGATAGTGTTATGTACATTGTTCAGTTTGATCTGGGGCAAAAGAAAAAAGCTAACACAAGCTTTTAAGTGTGATATGTAAAAAGATGATTATGTAAATGACATTTTAAAACCTGCATAGAAAATGAGCTTTAAACAGTAGTGTGATTTTAATTTTGATCATTTCTGAAACTTCAAGCCATTAAAAAAAAGGCACACTTCTCAACTTTATCCCTTTAAGGGAATGTTCTTTAGGAACCCCTTACTTGGTTAGAGTTTCAATGTAACACTTCAAAAAAAAAAGACAATTTGACCCCAAAGTACTTCAAACAGCTTGCTGGAACATTTATGCAACTACTTTGCAAATAAAACATCCAGTAGGACAATGCTCTGCAAGAAAAAATAAATTTAAACATACAAGATATTTCATTCAGGATATTGGATTAAATAGTTTTCTGGGGTAGTTTAAAACACTCTTTAGCATAATTTTGCTTCTGGTCAGTTTAAATAAAATAAAAATGAGAAAAGTTATTATTGTTATGTGATAATAAGCACTGAGGATTAAGCTAAAATATTATTAACACAGCTGAACATATTCTGGATTAGCAGAATGATAAGTGGAAATCTCAGGAGGAAACTGTTTGACTCTAACTATCCAGTTGCACTTTTCACCTTGTAAAACATTTGTAAATGCAATATACTTTTTTGAAAGGAGGAAATTCTGAAAGAAAACAACTTGCTGGTTGAATACCACAAACAAAACAAAACAACCCAAAACCTCACTTTTTCTATAATGTTTACTCAGTCTCTTTTTATATAAAAATAAGTGTTATGTTCCCATCATAACATTAGACAATTACATCTGTGCTTAAAAAAAAAAAAGTTGGTCACTCAAGGCTATTAGAATATTTTATAAGGATTTTAGATTACCAGAATGTACAGATATAACTCAATATAAACTGTAGCCAAAGGGAAATGACAATGAAAATATAAAATCATTCACATGGAATAAAAACGTTATTAACTAGATGAGTAAAATATTCAAAATATATGGAATGTGACAGTAGATATATGTACATCTACTTCAGAACTAGGAAGGGGAAGAAAAGCTTTATATGTAATAATTCGTACCTTTTATTTAGTTAAATATAAACATTTGTTATTTATACATAAAACTGCTTTCAAAAAACAACTAATAAATGATTTAGTTGCACTTGTTTTACTTCTTACAATTCCCAAGTGTTAACTTTTCTTAGATTGAAATCCAACTGTCCCCTAGTGCACTTTTAGTTTATATCTTAATGAATTCAAACCTTTAAAGGTCCCATCACCTAATGCATAAATATACAAAAATGCCAAAAAAATTTAATCCCTTTTAGTTGGATCATATTTTATGTTCACTTTATATTGCCAATAACCAGAAATGGTTTCCTTTTGCAAATATTCTTGACAACCTGTAACAAAACATGCCATGCACTCCAGGGAAAAGGGCATGGCGAGCATTTGTGAAATGCCAAGAACCGATGAGTTCTGCTTCCTCCACGTGTGGCCCCAAGGATACCAGGCAAGACTGCATAATGCTTGCCAAAAGCTTCCACAAATCCAAGTTAGCTAATTCCTGGACACGAAGATTTTAAGCTCATTTCGGCACTGGATGCTTTCATCCAGCAGCTTTATGTTTCCCACCACAGCACCCACACGCCTCACCACAACGATGGCACATTCTCAAAGGGACGTAGCAGCACATACATGGTACAATGAAAGACAAAGCTACTAGGGCTAACCATCGCAAGCAGAACTTGTCATCGCTAGTGTCACATGAACAGGGGTCAGAGAAATCTCCCTCTGAGTCTGACATACAATGATACAACATGCTCTCTGCACAGAGCATGCAACTAACTTGATATATGCATCTCTTAATAGGGTCTGGAGCATCCTGACATTTTCCCCTGCCATTTTCTTCATGATTAAACCTTTCCTGGCAGTATACGCAGCGAGAACGTTCACCATCTTCTTTTCTTCGTTTTGACTTCTTAAATTTTAATGAGGAAGGCTGTGTCTTAAATACCACAGAGTCTTTGAGTGAACTTAACTTAGTTTCATCCCCACAAGAGTACAGATAGTCTGATTTTTTACTGTCTGGTTTAGAAAACTGAACACTGGAGTCAGTATCATCTCTCTCCAGGTCATTTTTCCACATGTCGGGATGTCTATAGTCTGCATAGCGACGTATTAAGATATCGCGAGGGTTTATTCTGACAATCTCATCCTCATCTTGAAAGCTGACATGTCGAATTGATTTCAAAGGGACCTAAAAATGAAAGAAATGAAAATTGCAATAATAACAGTGAAGATTAATTTTACTGCCTACTTGCCTGGGCCACAGTGCCCAGATATTTGGTCAATTCGTTTGCAAGTTTAAGTGAAGATGTTTCTTGGATTAACATTTCAATGGGTGGACTATATAAGCATAGCAGATTATCCTCCATGACATAGGTGGCCCTCATCCAACCAGTTCAAGGCTTTAATAATACAAAGACTGACCAAGAAAGAGCAGGAAAGAATTCTGCCAGCAGACTGCCTTTGGATACAGACTACAGCTCTTGCTCGGGTTTCAAGCATGACAGCCTACTCTGAAGATTTTGAATATGTACCCATGCCATCATATGAGTAGGGCCTCCCAGATAGAGAGGGCTTCCCAGGTGGCTCAGTGGGAAAGAACCCACCTGCCAAGCAGGAGAAGTGGGTTTGAGCCATGGGTTGGGAAGATCCCCTGGAGAAGGAAACGGCAACCCACTCTAGTAATTCTTGCCCGGGAAACCCCCTGGACAGAAGGGCCTGGTGGGCTACGGTCCATGGGATTGCAAAGGAGTTGGACATGACTTAGAGACTAAACAACATCACATAAGCCATTCCTTAAAGCAAATGTCTTTCTCTTTATATATAAACATATTGTGGTTCTGGAGTACCCTGACTCATACAGATTTCAGTAGCAAGGAGTGGGATGCTGTGCTAACAGAAGTGTGGCAATGCCTTTGGAACTGGATAATGGGTAGAGGCTGAATGAGTTTTGAGGTGTGTGTTATAAAAAGCCTAGGTAATCGTGAAGAGAAGCTTGGTAGAAACACAAATGTTAAAGGCACTTCTGGTGAGGATCCTGGATGGAAACGATGAACACACTGTTGGACGCTGGTGGATAGATGACCCTTGTTATAAACTGGCAAAGAATGCAGGTGAGTTGTATTCTAGTGTTTCATGGAAGGCAGAATTTGTGAGTGATGGACTTGGGTATTTAGCAGAAATTTCTAAGAAAAGTGCTAAGGATACAGCCTGGTTCCTCTTTGCTGTTTATAGTAAAATATGAGAGGAAAGTGATAGACTGAAGTGTAACTTTAAAAACAAAATAGAACCAGAACTTGAAGCCCTGGAAAATTCTCAGGAATGACACTATCACCAAGGGAGTAGGGCCACTTCCCTCAAGGGCCCAGGGGAATTTTGCCTCAGGATGAATCAAACTGAGTCTCACTCACACTTGACTTAGATGATATTTAGATGAGATCTTGGTGGTGCTACTGATAAAGAACCCACCTGCCAATGCAGAAGACATAAGATGTGGGTTCAATCTCTGGGTTGGAAGAATCGCTGGAATAGGGCATGGCAACCCACTCCAGTATTCTTGCCTGGAGAATTCCATGGACAGAGAAGACTGGTAGGCTCTAGTCCATAGGGTTGGACAAGACTGAAGTGACTTAGTATGCACACACTGGACCTAGAGATGGTACTAGAATGGCTTAAGTCTTTCAGAATGTTATGATGAAGTGAATATATTTTGCATGTGAGAAGAGGGACCAGAGGGTAGAACACTATGAGCTGAATTGTGTTTCTTCCAATTTCATATGTTGAGGCCCCAACCCCCAGTATCTCAGAATGTGACTACATTTGGAAATAGAGCCTTTAAAAAAGTGATTAAACTAAGGCCCTTGGGGCAGGCCTTAATCCAGTTTGACTGGTGTCCTTATAAGAAAAGGATATTTGGACACACAGAGAGCGAGACACCAGAAATGTGTGTTAAAGAGAAAAAAAGGAACACAATCAGAAGGTGACCATTGACGAGTCAAGGAGAAAGGCCATGAAAGAACCCAAATGTATCCACACCTTGATCTTGGACTTCCAGTTTCTAGAACTGTGAGCAAATATATTTTTGTTGCTCAAGGCCCTCTGTCTGTGTTATTTTGTTATGACAGCCCTAAAAAACTAACACAAAGTATATGTATTCATGGTTTGGCTATACAAGTCTCTGAAAATGACTGAAAAGCACACCATACTCTCCCACCTTTCTGGTAGGCTGTTTCAGGCTAGGGGGGAAAGTACATCTTCCGGGCATAAATCAAAATGACCGTTCCCTTCATCCATACAAGTGACTAGTGTGACAAGACACAGTGACTAGTTTGTAAGTAAGCCTATGATTTAGACCAGGCTTCCAAACTTTCATTGTCCAGATATTTGGAATTGTGGCTAAAAAAATTCCATGTGTGGACTAAAGATGGAGTGATGGATGCAGAAAGTTACAACAATTCCTATTGGTGATAAACATACTGTGACAATCTCCCAGACTCAAACCAGAAATCTGGAGGAAATTTAAGTAATGAGGTTTAGAAGTATATATAAAAAATAAGTAAATTTATAACACTAAAAAATAATTCTAGTACAATTCAACTACATGGAGAATTAGAAAGACTGGAAATTTCACTTATATGTTAATTAGTTACATGCCAAATCAGAGGATAAAACTAAGATTTCTTACCTTATTTTGGGACTTCAGGCCTCCACATTCCTTGGGCATTTGCCGCTGTCCATATTCTATACTTCTGTCCTGAATGTCTAGGCCTGGATGACTGAACATTATCTAAAATACAAACAATTCCTAGTTAAGTGACAAAAGAACACATTTCTTATTTTGTTTTTAATGAAACTATATATGTGTATTTCAAAACTCCATAATCTATTAGTAGTAAGGTTTTTCAAAATGGTTTTAATAAAAAGCATTATTTGAGTCATCCTGTTTATTATTTAAACTCAAATCTTTCTCAACACATTTAAAATGAAATTTAAAAGTAGCACACACTTCACTTCTGGTTTCAGTTTCAGCGTGTAAGGAGCTTGAAGTTTCCATTCGGCTGCAATTACAAGTAAAAAAAAAAAGCAGAATAACAACAAAAAACATCAACAACTCTTCTTAGATCCATGAGAGAGGAAGACAGGACAAACCCCACCCCTAAGACTGCAGAGACTCAACAGTAGAGATCACCATGGAAACCAGTGTCAGGGTCGGGGGAGGGAATCTCAACTGTAATTGACAAACTGCTGGAGGCTCAGGATAGACAACTGGGAGTTTAACACTCCTAGGGACGTCCCCAAGCTTCTGTCAGGCTACCTCTAACAGCTCAACGAAGTTCCCACAGTAAATACCAGAAAAATCCCTGCATGCTCCCAGCACGGAGGGGGGAAGAACCATTATGAGGTGTGCTGGAGCACTCTCTGCGACAAGGCTTGTCCTCAGGAAACACTAATGAACCACAGCTTGACCTACTATGGTATCATCAGAGTCAGGAGGGGCCATATACCCAACCCTCGTCATTTCAAACCACATGATCCACCTAAAGGGGGAAAAATATATATATATAATTGAAATGCACAATCCAGAGGGAAAGCCTTAGACTTAAAGACTGAGACCTAATCACAAACATAGAATGCTTTCTTTTCTCACACACTTTACCACTGTATCACTAAAGGCTTATTTACAGCAGTTCCTTTACCCAGCACATTATGTCTAGCAATCAAAAAAGTATTAAAAAACAAACCAAAAGGCAAATATATTTTCTGAAATGTCACAACAAGCATCAGAACCAGATATGACAGGGATATTGGAAACAGCAGACTAGGAATTTAAAACAACTATGCTGTTCTTTTGAAACATGTATATTATCTAGGGTGAAACAGATCACCAGCCCAGGTTGGGTGCATGAGACAAGTGCTCGGGCCTGGTGCACTGGGAAGACCCAAAAAGCAAGATAGAATGCAAAAACAAATGAGCAATGCAAACAGAGAGACAGAAATCCTAATAAAGAATACGACCACCCGCCCTGCCCCAAAGCTAGAGATCAAAAGCACTAAGAGAATGAAGAATACCTTTGATGAGCCTAGTAGACTGGACATGACTGAGTAAAAAACCTCTGAGTATGTGAATATAGCAATTTCCAAATTGAAAGGAAAGAGAACAAAAAGTGGGGAAAAAAAGAACAGAATATTTAAGAATGGTGGAAGAACTATAAAATGTGTAATTTTGTACATATACACAAGATAGAATGATCAGAAGAAGAAAAAAATGAAAATAACAAAGAAATATATGAAATAATAATGACTAAGAATTTACCCAAACTAATGTCAGATGTCAAGTCACAGATCCAAGAAGCTCAGGAAATATCAAGCAGGAAAATGACAAAGAAAAGAAAAGCATCTAAGCATATAATTTTCAAACTATAAAAAAAATAAAAGATAAAAAAATTCTGAAAGATGCCAGAGGAAAAATAATTTGCTTTTAAAGAATAATTACATTGGACTTCTTTGCAGAAACCATGTAAATAAGAAGAGTAAAGTGAAATAGTTAAAGTGGTAAAGAGAAAAAATCTTCCAACCTAGAATTCTGTATCCTATAAAATTATCCTTCAAAAGTGAAGGAAACTGGTGGCAATGTATTGGTGCAACCACTGTGGAAAAGAGTATGAAGGTTTCTCAAATAACTAAAAATAGAGCCACCATATGATCCAACAATTCCACTTCTGAGTAAATATCTGAAAGAAACAAAACCACTAACTCAAAAAGATAGACACACCCCAATATTCATGTGAAAGTTAAAGTTGCTCAGTTGTGTTCAACTCTTTGAAATCTCATGGACTACACAGTCCATGGAATTCTGAGGCCAGAACACTGGAGTGGGTAGCCCTTCCCTTCTCCAGGGGATCTTCCCGGCCCAGGGATTGCACCCAGGTCTCCCTCATTGGAGCCGGATTCTTTACAAGCTGAGCCACGAGGGAATGGTCATAGCAGCATTATTTACAATTGCCAAGATATGAAAACAACTTAAGTGTCCATCAACAGACAAATGGATAAGACATGGTGTGTGCACACGCGCGCGCGCGCACACACACACACACACACACAGGAATACTACTCAGTCATGAAAAAAAGAATGAAAATTTGACATGTGCACCAATATAGATAAACTTGGAGGGTTATTTCACTAAGTAAAATAAGTCAGGCAGAGAAAAACAAATACTATATGACATCACTTATATGTGGAATCTAAAAAATTTAACACAATATTGCATATAACAGAAAATAAACAGACTCACAGATACAGAAAACAAATGAGTGGCTATCAGTGGGGACAGGGAAGGGGTGGGCAACATGTGGGAAGGGGATTAAGAGGTATAAGCTATTATGTAAAAACACCTTAAATGAAAAAAAGATCAGTTTTTAAAAAGTGAGAGAGAAAGACTTAGGCAACAAAAATTTGAGGAAATTTCTTGCTGGCAGACCTGCCTTATAAGAAATGTTAACAGAGGTTCCTTAGAGAGAAGGAAAATAACATAGGTCAGAAACTTGGATCTATATGACAATGGAAGAGCATTTTAGGAGAAACATGTGAAAATAATATAAACTTTTAATTTTCTTATTCTTAATTGAGCTAAGAGAGAGGTTTGCTCAAAAATCAGCATATATTTACATACCTATACATATACAGGTATACGTATATAAAGTGAAATGGTGACAGCAATGATCGAAGAGATAGAAGGAGGAATAAGGATTACTGCTAATATAGAGTTCACCCACTATCTGTAAAGCAGTTTAGTGTTGTTAAAGGAAAAGTAAATGAATGAAGTATACTATACCATGCTGCTGCTGCTGCCAAGTTGCTTCAGTCGTGTCCATCTCTATGCGACCCCATAGACAGCAGCCCAGCAGGCTCCCCCATCCCTGGGATTCTCCAGGCAAGAACACTGGAGTGGGTTGCCATTTCCTTCTCCAATGCAGGAAAGTGAAAAGTGAAAGTGAAGTCGCTCAGTCATGTCCGACTCTTAGCGACCCCATGGACTGCCACCTACCAGGCTCCTCTGTCCATGGGATTTTCCAGGCAAGAGTACTGGAGTGGGCTGCCACTGCCTTCTCCGAATATACCATGCTACCACTTGTGAAAAGAAAATACAAGTACAGACAGGGGGAGCTTCAAAGCAAGGAAAATTACCAGTGATAAAGAAGGGCATTATTAAAAAAAGGGGGGGGGCATTATATAATACAGGGGTTAAATTCCCCAAGAAGACATAACAATCTTTAATGTGTACGTGCTTAACAACACAACATCAAGTTACATGAAGCAACAACTGGTAAAACTGCGAGGAAATGGATATACCACTTACCATAGCTGGAAACTTCAATATCCCTCTCCCAGAAATGGACAGACTCAGCAAGCAGAAAATCAGTAAGCAAAGAGTTGAACTAAACAACACTTTCAAACAAGTGGATACAATGACATCTAAAGAAAACTTCATCTAACAAGAGCAGAATACGTATTTTCTCAAGCTTACATGAAACATTAACCAAGACAGACCAGTCTGGGACATAAAACAGACCTTAAAAAACTTAAAAGAGTAGAAATCATACAGTGTGTGTTCTCAGACCACAGAGGAATTAAACTAGAATTCAATAAGAGGATACCTGGAAAATCCCCAAATGAGTAGCAGTTAAACAACACAGTTCTAAACACAAGGGTCAAAGAAGAAATCTCAAGAGAAATCAAAAGTATTTTGAACTAAAAAGAAATGAAACACAACTTATCAAATGTTGTGGGATACAATGATAGTAGTGCACAGAAGGAAATTTATAGCATTGAATATATTTTTAGCAAAGAAGATCTAAAATTAATAATCAAAGTTTCTACCTTAATTGTTCAAACTACCACACAATCACATTCATCTCACACACTAGCAAAGTAATGCTCAAAATTCTCTAAGCCAGGCTTCAATGGTACATGAACCATGAACTTCCAGATATTTAAGCTGGATTTAGAAAAGGCAGAGGAACCAGAGATCAAACTGCCAACATCTGCTGGATCATCAAAAAAGCAAGAGAGTTCCAGAAAAACATCTACTTCTGCTTTGTTCACTATGTTAAAGCCTTTGACTGTGTGGAACACAATAAACTGTGGAAAATTCTTCAAGAGATGGGAATACCAGACCACCTGACCTGTCTTCTGAGAAATCTGTATGCAGGTCAAGAAGCAACAGTTAGAACTGGACATGGAACACCAAACTGGTTCCAAATTGGGAAAGGAGTACATCAAGGCTGTATATTGTCACCCTACTTATTTAACTTATATGCAGAGTACATCATGAGAAATGCTGGGCTGGATGAAGCACAAACTGGAATCAAGATTGCTAGGAGAAATATCAATAATCTCAGATATGCAGATGACACCATCCTTATCGCAGAAAGCAAAGTAAAGAGTTTCTTTATGAAAGTGAGTGAGTGAAAACGTTAACTTAAAACTCAACATTGAGAAAACTAAGATCATGGCATCTGGTCCCATCACTTCATGGCAAATAGATGGGGAAACAGTGACAGACAATTTTTCTGGGCTCCAGAATCACTGCAGATGGTGACTGCAGCCATGAAATTAAAAGATGCTTGCTCCCTGGAAGAAAAGCTTATGACCAACCTAGACAGCATAACAAAAAGCAGAGACATTACTTTGCCAACAAAGGTCCATCTAGTCAAAGCTATGGTTTTTTCAGTAGTCATGTACGGATTGACAGTTGGACTATAAAGAAAGCTGAGCACCAGAGAATTAATGCTTTTGAACTGTGGTGGTGAAGAAGACTCTCCAGAGCCCCTTGGACTATAAGGAAATCCAACTAGTCCATCCTAAAGGAAATCAGTCCTGAATATTCACTGGAAGGACTGATGCTGAAGCTGAAACTTCAATACTTTGGCTACCTGATGCAAAGAACTTACTCATTGGAAACGACCCTGGTGCTGGGAAAGATTGAAGGCGGGAGGAGAAGGGGACAATAGAGGATGAAATAGTTAGATGGCATCACCAACTCAATGGATATTAGTTTGAATAAGCTCCAGGAGTTGGTGATGGAGAGGGAAGCCTGGATGCTATAGTCCATGGGGTCACAAAGAGTCAGACACGACTGAGAGACTGGACTGAACTGAACTGCACCTTGGGAAATGAGAAATAGAAGATTCAATCAAAGCAAGGTAAAGAAAAGAAACAATAAGAATTAGTGTAGAAATCAATGAAATTGAAAGCAGGAAATTAACTGAGAATATTGATGAAACCAAAAACAAGTTCTTTTAACAAGATCCACAAAAGTGGTAAGCTTCTAATCAGGTTTCTAGTCAGATTTATTGGAAAAGACCCTGATGCTGGATAAGATTATTTTCTCACCTGATTTGCTTGGCTTCGCAGGTAGACACTTCTGGCATTCAGACCTTCAAAGGGAGAAGGTCTTGAGCTTCTGTAAGGCTCACTGGTAACCACGGTATCTTGATGGAAAAGATGATCTTTCACTAGAGAACTGGAAGTATCTTCTTCAGCTGCCTAATGGGAACAATCCCCAACTCATTAGTTGCCAGAATATGAAAACAACAACAAAATAAAATACCTTCATTAGCAAGAATTCAGCAAGTTGGTCAATACGTAGCACCATCACTCTGTATAGCAGTTCCCCAAAATCAAATGTACATTATGAAGCCATGTCAAAATAAAAGAATATGAATTAAAAAAAAAACACTCAACTTTATGAGCAAAATGGACCATCTTACAGAAAACAATATAGGATGAATCAGAAGGCTAACCATGCCATGTGAGAGATATATCTGATTATAGTAAAGCTGTTAACTAAAAGTAATATGTACACAGAAAGTGAAGAAATTATGAGGAAGAAAATGCAAATCAGTAAAATTGTTACTTTGAAAATTTTCTGTAAAAACTGTTTTGTACACAGTACCAAGGACTGTACTGTATGATACGAGGGATCAAAGAAGGAAGATAGTAGTCTATGATCTTGTTCAGTAAGGGAATGAATTAATTAGCCTGAATTTATGGATTACTTAGAAGGATTAAAATCATATACAAGACTTAGGGAAGGAGATATGTCAATCAATGACAGTCACGAATGAAATGCTTTGAAATTTCATAAACAATATTTCTGTGAAATAAATACTGAATAAGTGAAACTTAGCACATTAGAAAACATAAAGTCCTGAGAAGGTTTCTTTTCTTTTAAGAAACGAGATAACTACTTGCCATTATTTTTCCCATTAGTATACAGTTATCTGGGAAGAAACAGTGACAACCAAGTAAAATGACAGTAATACTTTTACTGCCTCATAAAATATTTATAGTAATCATAAAGGGCTAATATTGTTAAAAGGAGAAACCTTTACAATCTATTTTATAAAAATAAAAAACATTAAAATTTGGCTTATTTTAAAATTAAACAATAAAACTCATTAAATGGCAAGATATTATAAATTTATAAATGCACATAATGGCCCTTGCTCTGAAACAAAGTAGTTCTGTGACATTTTATTTCTCTGGAACTCAGTTTTTCAATTATTAAATAATTACAATTCCTATACAGTTTTATTACATGGAGTATTGTAAGGATTTAGGGAGATAATATATATGAAAATGCTCTGAAAACTAAAAGCTGCTATTTTATCAGAAAGTAGTCAATTAAACTTTAAAAATGTTTCTGAGGATCTACTGTCTACTGAAAACTAACTGTGTCAAACCCAGTTAATTGCTATTTTTATATAGTTTTCCTAATAGTTGTCCCCTGTGTTATGACAATGCTCAGTTACTCCAAAGGAGTTGGCTAGATAATGGTATCCAGCAAACATTCTTTCAAAATGCATGATAAAAGTTGAGAAGAATAAAAAAAAATTCAGGAAATGTATTTGTTCCATAGAGTTTTCAAAATAAATGACCCAAGTAACTGTCAAAAATCATAAACAACTTGAACAGAAGAAAACAAGAACAACAAAAAGGTTTGGAGAAAGGGCCTAGGTTGAAACCCTGTCTTATCCATCTAGGGTATAAAATTTAAGCAGCTGACTTTTCTAAATCACAATTCCTTTTTATTATAAACTGGGTACAATATTTGTATTAAAAATCTCAGGGTCAGCTGAGATACTCAAAGAGATTAAAAACTATAAATAATCACAAACTGTGGTGTTAGTCGTAGGATCAGGAATGGTCATAAAGTAATTATGCTTTTTATGGTGACAACTATTTGGATCAGGTCATCTTTACTGCATTCTAATCTAATAAGTCATTTAACAATTGTAAATTAAAACTTACTTAAAAATATGTATCTGAACAAATGTAAAATGGTTTCATGACCCAGTGTTTTACTGTATGACTTAGGTTAATTATACTTATATTCTGTACATTAAACAGTAAATAATTTCTTTTTGATTAAAAACATTTTTAAAGGGAAACATAAAAGGCATTATTTCATTATCAAACAAAAATGTGAGTGATAGTTGGGTAATAAATGATTTAGTTCAACTATTAAATGCTTACCAAAATACATGTAATTAACCTATTAGAATTATTTCATACTACACAGTAAACTTACAGCTATACACCTAAATGTGTTTCAGTTAATAAAATAACTAAAACATCTTTCAGGAGTCTGATAAAACAAATAAACCATCACTGTTTGAAAATGTACAGTCCACAATCTACAATAAGGGATATACTATCTGTGAATTGTGAGAAACTAACATTTGTAGAGAAACTTTAACAGAAAAAGGGCATTTTTCTATTACTCAACTGTATCTCTTTCATTAAGTTTAAATTTATGTTAAGCTGACAAAGTTTAAAAAAAAAAGTGGTGATAGGAGAATGGTCATTCTCATTCACTGCTAATTCCATACATAGGAGTAAAATCTGGGCCAACCATTTCTGAAAAGCAATTTTAATAAAATATATCAAAAGCTTTAAAAACATGCATACATTTTGACCATTTACTCGATCTAGTAAAGAAAAAAAATGTATTAAATGGAAAGAGCTTTAGGCATAAAATATTCTCAGAAAATTTTTTAATAGTAAAAATGAAGAAACAACTTTAATGTCCCAAATTAAGGGGATGGTTATGTAAATTATGGTATGTCCACTTAACATAATGAGTGCTCATTTGAAGTCAGACTTATGAATAGTATCTACATTGTGGAGAATTACTTAATGCTAAAAAGTCCGTATATAAAATTTTATTTATACTGTTTTAAGTGTGAAAAGATATAAGATTTAAAGGATATAAAATGAATGCTAATTCTATTTCTGAGTATGATTATGAACACTTTTCTAATTTTCAAGAGCTTGTTCACTTTTTATAAGGTGGGTTTCTTTTAAAATCTAAGTATATACTTCTCCCTTTATTTTAATGTAAAATCACAGTATTTTAAAATATAACACAATTGTATTCTATCAAAATATTCAAGTAATTCAATTAACTAATGAACCAGTCTAAGTAGATTCCCTCCCCCTCCACCCCCGCCACTCTGTATCTGAAATAATACTGAGACATTGTTCAAGCCTTGTTTCACACCCTTCAGATTCAGGCAGAACATCTCTTTTGGTCAATAAAATAATCAATCTTCAAAAACGAGCTAAAATTCTGATTGTTTTTCAAATCCATTTTCTCTTCTCCATACCCACTTAGCTACTCTCTTAATGCAAGCTCTCATTATCTTCTTTGCCTCTCTTATTTTAGCAGGTTTCTAAATGATTGCCTCGTGAAAGTTTAGGCATGCAAATTTGTTGGTTTTCCTACTCAGAATCCTTATAAGGTATCCAATTATCAAAGCTCTATTGGGGAGCCCTATACACACTGGAAAATAGAGGGCAGAGAATCATTATTGTCTGAGGAATGCTATCATAAGATAAACAATTTATGCAATCCATAGAAATGGGCTCTCTCACCCTAGCAGCACTGAGATACAAGATAAAGTCCAGTTTATTTCATAGGAAAAAGAAACATAATAAATACATGAAAAGATGGTGGACTTCAATTAAAGATTTAAAACTATGATGCCAATCTTTTATACAGACTAGAAAGGATGGAAAATATACATAATAATACTCGATACTGGGAAGGGTATAGAGAAACAATATTTTGTACTGTTGGTGAGAGTGCAATTCTTCTTTGAGAAATTTTTATACAGATACATACATAAACAAATAATCATCTTAGCACTCTTTTTTAACAAAAAAAGATAAGAAAAAAGAAAATATTCTATGGCTGTATGACCATGGGACTGATTAAAAATTTATGATCTATATATGATAAATTCTAAAAGCCATTAAAAAGATTTGTATGCAGTACTCACAAGAATTGCTAAATGAAAAAAAGCTAGGTATACAATTGTTAATATGACATGATCCTATTTGTCAAGTTGAAAGGATAAATAGATATTTTAAAATTTTATCAGTATAAGGAAGGATATACACCAAACCACTGACATTTCTTTTAGGAAATATTTCATATAAAGGGCTACAGACATAATAACATAAAGACAACCTATAGACAAAATAACATAAAAACATTAATACAACAATAGCATCCCCTATCTATACCACTTAGATAGGAAAATATTATCTTGAAGTAGTTGTTTATTGTCCAATTTCTTATGCTTCTGTACAGTTTTAACACACAAATACTATTTCTAAACAATATTTAGTTACAGATGTTTCTGGATTTTGACTGATACCATGCTACTTGGGACATTATGGAACCTGCTTTTGTTGCTCAACTTTTTTGCACGAAATTTATTCATGTTGACATATGTAGCAATAGCTCACTCATTTTTACTTGGAGTGTTGACAGCTAACATATATTAAGCATTTTCTATGTATCAGACATTGTCCCAAGTACTTTACATGATTTAATTCATTTAATCCTCAAAACAACCCTTCAAGGTAGTTGGCATTATTTTGTCTCTACTCCACAAGAAGAAATTAAAGCTTAAAGAGATTATGTAACTTGCCTAAGATAAAACACTTAATTTTTTGCTATTTCAAACAACAGTGCTAAGAACATTCTTCTACAGGCCTCATGATACACATTTAAAAGAATTTTTCTGGTACCTATACCATAGGTAGAGATGCTAGAATTATAAGACTCATGTATGCTCTGATTTATAAAATAAAAATTATTTTCCAAGGTGATTTTAACAATTTACATATCCACAAACAATGTTCTACATTCTAAGACTAGGCATTATCACAACTTTCTTATTTATAGATATGCTATTTAATTTCTATAATAATGAACTAGGCCCCACTAAAACTTAGTGTTTTCTTTACATGAACAAGAAATTTTGAGAATGAACAAAAGCACTAACAAATGTAAGTATAGATTTGTCACTTTACCATGGTTCCTACTCCATGGTTTTACAATCACTTTCTGTTTAAGATTACTTACTACCCTGTTTCTCTCCAGGACAATCTGACATTTCACAATTCTGATTCTCTGTACATGTCATTTCCTCTGCCCACAAAGACTATATTCTATTTTCTACTAGAAAAAC